AATAGAGGGGCGTATGCCCCTTTAACGCCCCCTCTAAATCCGCCACTGTGTCGTGTACTAAATACTGGACATATACACCTTCTAAAAAGTAATACACAATATGTATTTACTTGAAGCATAATCAAAGGAAAGTGTTACAGTACGTTGGCAGTGTACTAGAAGATAAAGACACTATAAGATTAGACTTTAATAGTAAGTAGCCTGGTGGATTGCCAATAAAAGCATTCATTTTGTGAAGGTTCTCTCAATAATAAACAAACAATTACTACTAGTTCATGTTTCATTACTAAGCAACTACCACCAATCGTCGTTAAATGCATAAAACATTCATAAATTATTATTAAAAAATGCATTATATTTTTCTGTTTCTCCATGCCTCACATACATCGATATCAAATTATTTATATGAGGTCTTCAATGTTTGTTTTATAGTACAATATATAATAAATTTATCAGTTCTGTTTATTACATTAACTTTTAATGACTTTTAATATCCAAGTATAAATTTTATTGCTAATTTTCAATTTCCGCATTAAACATCTGTTCAATAACATCTCTAAAAATGTTTCCACAGCTTATTGAACAAGTTGCTTCCTACATTGTAATAATATCCGTTTTCTCATTAAATACTTCTTTTTATCCAAAATGTCGATAGACACGACAAAGCTATAACTTAATTAGAATGAGACGTTATTTTATGTGATGTCAAAGAGACAGACAAAATTCCTGAAATTACTTGGGCATTTCTTTTAATTAAACACTGATTGATATTATTCTCAAAATGAGAGTGAATTGACCGACTCAATGTGGAATTAGTCCAGCATTCTCATATATGAATATCTAGTGTGTTTGTCTGGGGTGGAAATTACTGTATATAGAATTTTAATAATATAGGATTTTTCAGTTGAATCTCAATATCATAATTTTATGGTAATTTTTTATGTTTATAGTAATGATTGTCCTATTTTATTGATTGTAGTTTGTGAATGTGTTGCTAAGTTTTTCTTGTTTCTTAGACTTTACTCTTTATATTTTCGTAGTTTTACTGTGCAATTGACACAATTCAGTGTAATGTTGCTATGTAAAATATTTATTTTATATTTGAATATATATATATATATTAAAAGATGAAGATTATATGTACAAAATAAAAGCCTGTTATAAACCAGTAGGTTATACCATTATATGAAATATGTTTTTTTTTAGTAACCAAAAAAGGCGCATAGAGACTACTGTATTATGCGCCCTTATAAATCCATTGATTGATTGATTGATTAAAATGTTGCCAAATATAGTATTCATTTATTCTTTTTATTGTACTGGGCACATGGTTGTATAAATAAAAATGAAAAACTAAAATTAACAAACTACTTGTTCCAGTGACAGATTTAGAGGGGCATAAGGGGCGAACACCCTACCTCCTTCTAAATGAAATTCTTCTAAAGGATATTTATCAGAATATGACCATACTAAATAGTAGAAATAGATCAAACACAACCTTAAATTAACAAAGGTGCTAGTGCTTCATAGGCACATGCATCCCCTTGCACCCCCACCAAGGGCTCTGCACCAAGACTCTCCATCTGCCTGCACATTCACATTCCCTCCACTCCCCCCCCCCCTAACACATAAACACATAACAGGGTGGATCCACCTCTGTGCTCTTGTAGATGGCAACTGATTTGTCTCTGAAAAGGCAGCCTGGTATAGGCACATATAGATCTGGTGACTGTGATACTGAGTTTTATGAATATCTGTACATCTGTATTGTATGAATTGACGGTGTTTTATGAAATCATTCAAATGTCTGTTTATTATATATATGATCATTTTGAAATGTTCGGTATTTAAAATTGTCAACAGGGAATTACTGCAAGCTTGAAAACAGAAATCAATCACCCTTCTATTGACACTTCTTAAGTGGAGTCCTGCTTATGTTCCCTCATTTAAAGTTAATATATCATTTACTCTTGTGACAGTCAGAATTGTTCTGTAATGAATTGTGCTGTGTGCATACTGTGGCTTGGCTAAGTTAATGAAGTGGGGGGAGATTTAAAAATAAAGATTAAGGTTAGAGGGCTTATGACTGTGGGGCAATAGAAATGACATTAGAGTAGTTAGATATACACACTATGTATGAGGCCCTTTAATACCAACAGAACACATGATGAATGGCTGAGAGCTAAATAAGACTACAAACTTATGTTCTGAAGAAAAATATTGACAATATTACTTGTATGGGAAACAGAATGCTTAGATTCATTTAGAGATTTGCAGGGAAAGAAACAGCTATGTGGTGCCCTCAAGGAAACATAAACAATGTGGCAATAAGGAGTTGGATTAGCATGTCTTTCTTGGTCCATTTTTCTTTTTCCACGTTTAAGCTAAGCGCATAGAAGTCTCTACAATATGTGCTCTATAAGTAAACCATTATTATAATTATTATTTTACTTTCTATTAGAAACTGCTACTTGCAAGGAGACATGTGTAAAACGGTGTTGCGCACTCACAGAAACATATACAATGTGGCAATAAGCAGGAGGATTAACATGACTTCAGAGTTAGATTGAATATCACTTTCTTGGTCAATTTTTTTTAAACATTTACAGTCTGTTAAGCACATACAGGTCTCCACAATATGCGCTTTGTAAGTCAACTATTATTAATTATTATTAAAAGGAGGCATGTAGATTTGCTGAAATTTAAAGAGTTCCACGAAAAAGTAAACCTACTGAGGCTTAGGTTGGAAATATAGCTCAAACATTTAAAAGCAAACTAAAGAGTAAGAGAAAAGTTTGTTTACATAGGAGTAATTACTCAGTGTTCTAAAAAAAAATCTGTAAATCTGTGAGAGAAGCTTTTGAAATTGGATATTTGGTCAGAAAATTAAGTGGAGAAGGCAATTAAAATGACTTTATCAACAGCAGCAAAAACTAAGCACTGCTCTACTCTGACCCAGTTATCTAATTTCAAGCTAGATCTACCAATTGCTTCTTGTGTTTTATTTTACACAGCGATTGGATTTAATTGAAAGTGCTTGGCCTTATCCCACGAGAATGCACTTTAATGTCCAAGACATAGACCAGCCATATGTCATGTCAAAACCATACATAATTATATTACATCATGATGTATCATGATTTTACCAGTAATTGTATAAAGTAAATTTTTATTACCATCATTCAGATTAAGCTCTGTTCAGATTAGCAAATTTTCTTTGACAAAAAACTGTTGTATGACCATATATAGTCATGATGTGCCCATATATAGTCTTGATGTGCCTATATATAGGCCATATATCATGACCATATTTAGGCATGTCACATGTTTTTTGTCAAATAAAATTAATAGTCTAGAAAGAAAAACCATCAAAAATTCAATTATAAAATTGAATTGTTTGCTTATTTCTATTTTTCTACCTGTATCATTTCATATTTAAACTCCTGACTAATGCACACCAAGATACTATTTTTTTTTTTTATTTTGGGAAAGATTCAGACTTTTATTTTTTTTTTGTTCAATAGGAAGTCACAGTACTGTAGGTGCACTTCCATTAAACAAAATTACCTATTTAATTCGGTTTATGTCCTGTTTTGTTAATCATTTTCTTAATGATTTGCATAATTTAATATTTATAGCTTACAGTTACTCATAATTAAGCATCCATGTTGTAAGTGTTGGGTGTCCTGACTTTTGTCTGATTTTAAGAAATATAATACAATCAAAGAAAAGGGTTAAATAAGTTCTTATAAAGAGATATCGATTTTGTTTACTGATTCACCAACATTTTACTATAACAGTCTATATAATGACTTACTTTTACCTTTTACATGTTTATTGATAACTATGATTTTAATGTGTATGGCACTTTGGTCTCTTTTGGAAGAGTGCCTAATAATAATAATTATTATTATTATTATTATTATTATTATTAATGATTACTAGTCAATTTTTTGGTCTATCCACAGAATATAGAATAATAAAATATTTATCATTAAAATATATCAGGTTTTTTATAAACTGACTGGAAAAACTAGTTGGCATTGATATTTTTCAGGATAGTTAATGCCTTTTTTTTGTTAACCTTTATTATTATTAAAACAGAAATGCGTGGTTGTCCATTCCTTCTAAAACTTCTCAACTAATACAAATCTTGAAAGGCCTGATTAAATATTGAATAATGTTTTCCTTGTTCAAAAAATAAATATTGATTTTTTAAAATTATTTTTAGTTTATTCAATATACTGTAGGACAGTACATAAAGCTTCAGATTTTAAACTTTTTAAGGGTCCCAATTTATCAGCTCTGGACCACTCTCATAAAATATTATTGAAAGATAAATTTTAGTAATGTTTTCCATTTACCACAACTAACTATCTTTGTACAAACTGCCCTTTTCTGTTTTCCAACATATTGGGTACACTGTCTCAGTCACTATCTCCTTAGTATTGTATATAATAGACTGTGGCAGAACAAATGTGTATTTACCTTTGTTTCAGACAACTAGGGGTTTAAGAATGAACTACAGTGCAGGGTAATTATGACCTCTGGCATTATACGACAGACAACTCCATCATTCTCTTGAGGGTATTCTGCAGCACTCAAGAAAATAATGTGAGTGAATATGACTTTCGATTCCATTATTTCAATGAGGGTATGCTGCAGTTTCGCACAATATACATGCCCTGCATTATACGACGGACGACTCCATTATTCTCTTGAGGGTATTCTGCGGCATTCAAGAGAATAATGTGGGTGAATAAGACTGGCGATTCCATTATTTCATTGAGGGTATGCTGCAGTTTCGCACATTATACATGCCCTGCGTATTGTTGGTACTGTCCTCACTGCGCAGAGGTATGCACTCTGTGAAAAGACTGCTCTAGTTTTTCATGTTGTACTATTTCATTGTGTATTGTTGATTCAAGCAATGTTAAGCAATTGCAAACCAACAATTTATAATGAATTGATTAATAAGTTAAAAACTCAAAATAACTTACCACTGTTGCTTTCACCAAGAGCACCAGCATCCTCTTCTGAAGGTTCTCGACAGAGCATTATCTTGCCAAGATCTCGGATCTCACTTACTTCAATAGCGGTGAGCTTACTCTCAGCTGTTCCTGGTATCAAAGAAAAAGGACTTGCACAGTGTGGAAGATGAGAAGGGTTTGCAAAGTGTCAGTAACATGAAAAATGTAGTAAAATTTACTGATTTATTTGATTGACAATCATCCCCATTACTATCAAGATCATGATTTCATCAATATTACCACAATCATCTTATCAACATTTTCATTATCATTACCATCATCCTTAACATCATCACCACCATTATTATTAGCACCACCACCACATCATCAGAAATACTATCAGAAATGTTATCATCATCACCAGTCATACCATCAGGAATGTGATCATCATCATCCTCATATTCAACACCAACATCTTCAACCAAAATCATTCATTATCTTATCAACCACCACAATTATTATCTGCATAATCAATGGCCGTATTCGACTGGTTTTTCTTTGTTAAACCACGCCGACCTGCACAGTGGTAAAATCCTACTTAACGAAGACAACCAGTAAAATAGAAAACTGTTAAATACTCGACAAAACAAAATGGCTGCATAGTTACCGCTAAACACGCTGCGAAATCAAAGCTGCTTCGGATTGTGGCAGCATGGGTTTTTTGTAAAAAAATGTTTTCATCCAGTTTTTGAAATCTGTTAGGCTTTGACTTCAATGTGGGTATATATTATAATTTTAATTTTCTGAAATTTAATCTAAGTTATATTAATGCAAATGTTGTTGCTAAATTGACCAATCGGCCATATTTTTTTGGGTCACGTGCATAACTTAACGCTGATTAACGCATTCTGGTTACGGTAATTTTTGTTGTCAACGAAGTTTATTTTACAAACCAGTCGAATGAAAAAAATACTCAAAAATTCATACTCAAGGAAATGAAGCAGTCGAATAAGCCCAATATCAATCTTCACATCACCACCAATGTTATAATGCTAAAAAAGTGTTTATACCTTTTAATGTCCAAAGATGCATTTGGTTATAGACAAAATTAAAACATTAGACACACGTCAGACAGAGTTAAAAGCAATTATAGAGATACTAGTTTCACCTCATCCTACTATAAACAACAACATACCTTTTTTAGTAGTGTCTTTGCTTCCAGCTTGATCCAATAAAGTTTTATCAGCATCACTGAGTAACTGCTCAAAGTCTTTGGTCTGTCTTTTGACGGTTCCCTCTGGCAATGGTACAATCTCTCCAGTACCAATGACTTTGCTTAAACGTTGCTCTGAAGTGTCTTCCTTTTCTTTCTGGTCTTTACTCTCAATGCCATCAGATTCCTTATCTAGGCTATCACTCTCTGTTACGCATATTTGGCATTTAGATGGTGCAATTTCTGCATCTTCTTCTGTTTCATCCTTCACCCTATTTTCAACAGCTGAATCCTCACGACCACAAATTATTGAAGAAAAAACTTCTGTCTTCTTTTTAACGATTCCTGGTTCAAGTCCACAAATGGTAGGTGACAGTACCTTACCTGAGGGAGGATAATCTCCTCTTTCTGTGCTACCAGAGATACAAGTTTGGGGATTTAATGTAGCATTTTTAGTGTCAGGTGCTTCTAGATCAACTGCCTTACATTCTGTTTGTTTATCTTGGTTACAAGACTGTGTTATTATTGCATGGTTGGACTCTTTACTAGTTCCATCTTCAACTCGCATTTTCTCTAGCTCACTACTCATGCGTTTGACCTCTCCTGTCAAACTACATACATCGTCTGGTTTTTTGTTATCATCCTCGACTTCCTCACACCCTGGATGACTTCCTTTCAATCTTTCTGATCGCACAAGTTGAGGACTTGTTTCTTTGGTTGCTTCATCTTTCAATCTTTCTTCTATATCCTGCTTTTGTTTCAGAACAGTTCCTGGATTCCATGGAATGCTTTCTAACTTGTACGTCTTTGTGGCATTCAATTGCACATCCCCTGTACTACCACCATTGGTAACATCATCACTACAATTAGGTACTTTGCTGATGGCAAGTTCCTCCGGACTGAACACATCTGGTGTGGGTTGAGATGGACTGTTTTCTTCGGTGGACACAATCAGCATATCTCCTAATGAATTTGGTCGTTTTGATGCTTGTGTTATTGAAGACTCGCTTCCTTTCTGTTCAATTTGTTTGACAACCTCACCCACACTTAATCTGTTCACTCCTGTAGCAGTTGTTGTCTCTCCGATGTTTTTACAGTTTTCATCCAGTGACACAGTTTCAGAGCTGCTGTTACTTTCAGACTTTGATGTTGGCACCTGAAAGCTGATAACTTCTTCTGCTGGTGCTGTGGGACGACCTTCAAAGCTGGAATCCGGTATATGAAAGTCCTCTCTATGACACCAAGACTTGGAACGATGTGGTCCAGCTGCTTCAGGAGTAAGAAGAAGCTCCTCTGTGCTAGAAAAATTCTCAGAGGTGTCATGAGCTTCCGAGCTACAGGCACTAAGTGAACTCTCAGACTTGCTTCGCCAGAGTTGGCTATGTCTTTGATTACTATTATAAGAAAAAGAGCATACAGACATTTATGGATATGCTGTGTTGAGCTGACAAACTTAAGACAACAAAATTAGAAGAGATATGTTAGGATCACAATGCTACAAATCCACATTAGAACTGAATGTTTGCAGTGGCATATCTAGGGGAATGCGCAGAAGCAAAAAAAGTACTGTCAATTAGTTAAAAACAACCTCATAATACCACAACTTGCAAGCAAGCACCCCCTCATTTTAATCATTATTCACATTCGCGTCTCCATCAGCCCTTCCACCATTCAATGTTCCTGCTTTCGTACTTACGACGTCGGTATACTACCATACATTAAAAACCAGAGTAGTGCTTATACTTGGAGTCTCATTACTCGACTCCTTGAATAACCCTTACATTTAGATTCAAGTGTAAAAGGGACAATGCATCTTTTACATATCAGTATTAGTGCTGCATTATGGCTGAGGTGGGTCCTCAAAATTTCAAATATCAATTTGAAATGGGACAAACATAAATACTTTAATTTAATTTAATTTAGATCCAAATGTCATAAAAAAATAAAAGTACTACATTTGTGAAAAGAGAGTAGTGAGAAAAAAAACTACAGACAGAACACATAATAGGTTTTCAAAGATACAGTTAGAAAGTTGTGTGAAATGGTGAGGGTAACAGACTATGAAGAAAATAGTTTTCAACTTGAGTGTTATGATAATTACAAAAAATTCTAGAGTGCGAGTTCTAGAAATAGAGTTTCTATATGGGTGCACTGCACTATGTGATACAGTAGATTCAAGGACAGACTTTTGTTATCAATACACCGTCAGTGATCATGTCGACATTTTGACCGCATAAGACTTACTGGAGCCTGATGTAGACAGAATACACACAGTGCAAAATAGAGGGTGGTATAACTCTTAAATGTTATTTTCTTACCTTGCATCTAGAATTCCTTGGTACTCGACTAGCTGATTCATAAATGCTGAGTTTGGTCTAATGCATTTTCGTTTCTGTTTCACAAATTCAAAGGCTTTTTTCAGCGGCCATTTGTACTCTTTCATGATGTAAGCTATGACCTAGTAGAAGGTTAAAGTTCAGTGATTATATATAAATAATACATATGAGGGAGCACCAGGTTTCAAACAATCACAATTGTAATGCTTAATTGATGATTTCAAAGAAAAAATTGAAAGAAAATGATGATTGATTGTGGTACTGATGACAAAAGGATGAAATATGATATTAAGGACAATAATAATAATGTAGTGACTAATGTTACAATATAAAAAATAACAAGGACATTTATTGCGCACATCATTGGAAACAATTCACAATATTCCCAATATCTAACAAAGGTGGCCAAATCAGTCAAAAAAGTCTGGTCTCCCTTGGGGCTCAATATGATAAAGTAAAACCATATTACTGAATTTTAACAAGAATGGTGATCAAGAAAGATATTGATGAAATAAATTTTAGTGGATGATGACAAACATGAATTTTAATGAAAAAATACAATGAAAAAACATTAAGATCGTGGTCATTGTAATATGTAATGGAACTGTATTGTGATAGTTTACGATAAAAGGCATCGGTCGATAAATATAAGTATGGGATTAAGAAGTTATGATCAAGAGACATATGACACGGGGTTCCCAAGTTGGAAGAAGCATCTTTCAGGAGAATTGGTTAAATAAGCTCCCTGAACACATCTAATTATATTTTGTTATGTGTGGCAATACCCAATGCAAGTTGACTTCCAGCAAACCACTTATAATACAGTGGTAACAACATGCAAATATTATCATGAATTTGTAAAATATGGGTTATAATTTCCAGGAGGCTTTTGCTTGCTTCCGGGAGTGCAGGAGGCTATCATGATTTCCGGGTGAATCCACAACTCGCAGGAGACTTAAGACCCCTGTATAATATGAAGTTTTAGACATACATACCGTGGATGCTGACCTACTGACACCCATCTTGCAATGTACCAATACTTTGGAACCAGCCACCCTGAAAGACATTAAACAAATTGCTGTATTTATTAGTCTTTAATAATACATAGCAAGCAAACCTCTTAGGAAAATCTTAAATATACACTACCCAAAAATAATCAGGAATGTTTCACTATACGAGATCACAAATACTGAAACACTTTCAAATCCAATAAATAGATCCCGATGGAATATGTTGAATCACGTCTTGAGATCAACTGAATTTTCACCGGCATTCAATCTCCTAAGTTTGCACTAACATTTATTGCTAATAGCAGAGTTGGTAGACATCAACTCTCTTTTCACTAATACAAAGCGATTTAAGTAAGCATAATCTGAAATTAAAAAACTTAATGGATCTTAAAAACCTTATGCAACTTGCCGCAAACAAGCAATGTTGGATCCTGAGTTTTTTTTAAGTGTATTTATTTTTCTAAATTTAAATGTACGCAAAACTTATTAAAACTGCTTTTCTTTTCCTCTAGTATCATTGATTGGAAAAGTATTTATATATTTTTGGAAATAGTTTAATATAATAATAATAATAATACAGAAATAGAGAAATGACACTCAAAAGTAGAAGCTATTAAAACTCATATAAGTCTGAAAAAATGATGTGTGACCTAGAAAGTGTGTGTTCAGCGCCTACACATTTGGTGGACTTGGATTTCTTTTCCTGTTTTTGTTCATTTTTTTTCAAGCTAGGATGTTGAAAGAACAGAGCATTGGCACTATTATTACTACCATTAAAAACCCATATGGTACAGGTTATGTGGATTCTTTTGCATGACACTCTTATATGGGGTAATGGAGTTAACCTGACAGATGATGACCTGACAAAAAACAAATCCGCTCCATCGTTATAGCAAGTTTCATTGTCACAAAAAGAGAAATTGCTTTTCCATCAAAGCAACAGGACATTGAGCACTTTTCTTTTGATTAGGCCATGTAAAAAAAAATGAATGAGTGTTCTATTTTCACTCTTAATAGGGAAGTTTTATGGAAGAACTTATAGGTAGTATCATTTACTAATAGTTCTAATTAACTACAGATGATGATTGGATTGTCAATAACAGTATTGTGAAAACATAACAATCTCATTTTTATCTAAAAAAAGCTAGAACATTTTAATATTAAACTGGAGTTTATGTTTTCAGAAGTTTAAGTTCCCCTTAAGGTAGGTTTTAGTAACATAATAATAATAATAATAATAATAATAATAATAATAATAATAATAAAAATAATAATAATAGTTTTATAGAGCACTTAATACAAAAAAAAATACTTCTAAGTGCCTTACACAAAATGAATACAAGAAATAGAATGAAACAAAAATAAAGAATAATCAATTCGCAAATTGAAAAAGAGTACATATTTGAAACCAGGATTTGTGTGCATTCTCTACTTATATGGGACTCTAATATGGGGTAATGTGGTTAACTTTCTCTGATAACAGCTACAAAAAAAAATCCAATCCATCAACATAGCAGGTTTCATTGTCATAGCATAGACACTATCCTCCTTCATCACAGTAAACATTGAGCACTTTACAATTGACAATATAGCTTCTTGCTGCATGAAATTCAACCACGACAGCTTGTGAGAGTTAGAATCAAATTAGGCCACGTAAAATCAATTTAGGCCACATAAAAAACAATAAGTGTCCTAAATTCAGCCAAGACAGCTTGTGAAAGTTAGAATCAAATTAGGCCACAAAAAAAACAAACAAACTAAGTGTCCTATTTTCCAAACATTTTTAGTAAAGAGATTGTAAAATATTAAAAATTGTAAGCTTTTTTTGAAAGGAGACAAACACACTTCGCACTCACACTAGCAAGCGAAAATCACCTGGAACCTAACCCATCTATGGCCAAAATTTAGCATATCTACATGTATTACTATTATATACCTCATACATAGATTCTAGGCATCTGATTAGTTAATACGCGGGCAATAGAAAGTATTAAATACCTTATACAGATTCTAGATATCTCATTTGTTAAGAAGCAGGCAACAGAAAGTACTAATCCCCTGAAAAATAGTACGTTTTTGCCGTGTGATGTGCAAACTCTAGGCTCCACTTGACATCGCGCTGACAGTAAAGAGGACTGCGGCCTCTACAACGAAAGAGATGGGCCCTTGACTGTGCCACGGATCAGTGAGCAGATGATAAAAACATGGAGGCTTGTCGTTTCGAGCTCCTGGATGGAGGACTAGCCTACACTTAGCATTACTTCTTGATGAAGCCGATAGCAAAACGCCAAAAGACAAATTCAATATGTCTTGTCAATATTTGACAAATATTGTAAGATGATGTGTGCTGTTGAAATTGAGAAAATGAGCAAAGAAGAGCTAGACACACTCTTTGATCGCCTAGCTACTAGAAGGCCTCTAGGCTAGGCCAGGTAGTAAGTAATTTTTTAGGCCTCTAAGAATCTATGTACAAGGTATACAGGAAGACAGATTTCACCGTTCCCCGAATCTAGAGCAGTCACAATCAATATTTGTATACTATATCATCAGCTCCTCTAGAGTTAACTGGCCATGTGTTTAATAATGCACAACATAAGAAAATAAGATTTATATTGATTGTAAGTTTGTTTACTGCACTACACATATCCTTAGGAACAGCACCACCCCTACCAACTGTAAAGAACAACCTTTCCTAAGTGTCAACCAAACTTAAAAACTGTCCAATCAGAATAGTGTTAGGAGTACTTGTGTGTGTCCTATAAATACCCATGCTGTCCAACACAAGCATGTGCATGCGTATGCTTTTACACTGTCGTTTTCTGGGACCTTAGGAAAAATATCCAAAGGGGCGGGTCTTAGCGGAAAGGTCTATTAATACCGAAAATCACTTGAAATGTGGATACTTACTTGACATTTTTGATAAACTTGTAGGTGTCATCCCAATACTTGAGTAGGTAAGTGGTTTCTACATCGTATTCTCGTACATTATAGTATTTATACATTGAAGGGAAAAAGTTGTCAATTTCTTTTGTAATATTCAGGATGTATCCAATTCTATAAAAAAAAAATTAAATCATTATTAAAAAAAATAATAATAATAATAGTATTATGAACAATCTAATTACATTAACTACTTTTATGATACTTATAAGAATAATGCAAACAAAAATGCAGTTGGTTTAATACATTTAGGTTACTCATATGCTATGCTCAAGCATTACACTACTATATTTTTAGAATAGTCAATAGTTATGAATAGGCCATTACATTAATGTTCCAAAAATGCAGTTGCCTGCAGTAGATTCCATGTGCTAATCAAAACATGCCTATGGCCCCATTTTCAATTGCAACCTCAATTTAATATAACAAATTTGAATACAGTTGTTAAAATATATGGGGCCTCTTTAATACTATTTATGCTAGGTTAAAATTTATAATGAATAAATAAATAATTAAATAATTAGTATTAGTTATGGCTGTATTCTGTATACTAGGCCTGAAGGTGGTACTCCTACAGCTGCAATCTTGTTGAGTACCTGTACAGAACTCTGCATTTTTTTGTCGCATAGTTTAAGTACTGTAGTTATTGTAATACCTAAGAATATAAATATATGTCATATTATATACCGACTACATAGATTCCAGGTATTTGATTTTTTTAAAAGTTAGGCAAAGTTTCAGCCATGCCATCCTAGTCAGTCAATAGCCTACAATCTATGTAGAGATATATAAACAAATATTTACTGGGATTTAAATCGAGTCATAGTTCAAATTATAGGCCTTCGTGATCTGAAGGCTGTATTATCCTGACCCTCAACCCAGTAAATGTATATTAGTTATATCACATCTCCTCAAACCACCTACTCTAATATTAATATGGGCCTTGCTAATTACACCAAATTCCATCACTTTCCATGATTTAAAATCTTACCCATTATCCCCTAACTCATCATAGTTGCATGCATTCCATTCAGAACCCTAAAAAACAAAAAATACATTGTTTTTTTAATTATTGTGCTAAATTATCAAATATTCTTCAAAGCAGAATAAGAAATACAGCAAATGTGTATACATTCACACAGGTAATAATAATTGTTAAAAGCAAAAATATAATAGCATTAATACAGTATAGTAGTGTAATTTAGTGTATTACTTCTTTGGGTTGTCAGGTCAACTTCAAAAAACTGAAGGCCTGCCCTATTGCCAATTTCTATTTTTGTTATAACAAGCTTTATTTAGAATACTCTCTGGGTGATTACATGATTTTCTACACAAATTACGGTCATGTAACTTGTGGCCATAAAGCATTTTCATCTGCTGCACACACTTAAACAGCTCACATGTTCACCTTAAGGCATCTAATTACCTGCATGACTGTCTTTCTCTCCAATATCTTTGAGTAATATTTTTTTAGGGTGCTTATGTGATGTGCTAAGTAAGATATGTGTATTCATAATAACTTCTAAAATGTTATTACAGGTATCACTAAAGTTCTTATCATCCTCCATACCTCTTCTAGTACAAATAAAAGTTTTAACTTACTAGATATAAATAATCAAAAATGGGAGAAGGCGCATCAATTTGTCCCAGAATAAGCAGCATTTGCTCATCAATAAATCCTTTGTACTCCTTTAGATCTTTGTCCATACGATCTTCGAGTTTTTCCCGGACCTTCAGAATAAAATACAGCAAAAACAGAACCTACTTATTAATCTATAAATACCTAACAAAGTGTATTAAGTACATTAAATATTTTAAGATAGTATGCTTTATTATTTATTAATTGCTACAAAACCCAACATGAAATAATAGTGAGCTTTTGATTTGGCAATGACAGTAAGATCTAGAATGTTAGGACTACACAAAGTCATCTACCCCAGGGAAGTTCCTATCATAAGCATGAGGCCAATGGGCTCCTATCTACTTAAATAGCCAAAATGGTTAACAAGGCAATGGGCTTCTGCTTAATAAGGCAATGGGCTCCCTATCTGTTTAAGAAAACCAATAGGTAGTTAATTTCACCTGGCGACTTGTGGTCTCCTCCAGGTCAACTTCCAACATTACTTCTCGTAACTTCACTCGGATTAACCTCTGCAAAATGTCCTTTTCTGTTGGCCTACATACATCATGATCTGCAAAGAGTTCTTGGCTGAAAAATTAATTGATGGTTTATTAATGGTTTTTAAGACATTATATTATTATACATAATTTTGTAATGATTTTATCAATATTAATATATATATATAT